CCACCACCACCACCACCACCACCACCACCACCACCACCACCACCACCCCCACGCGCGTGCGCACCCAGAAAAATGTCAATGAAATACAGGGTAAAATGTAGACATTTCCACAAAAGGGGGCTCCTAATAATTTCCCTTTTCCTGGAAATTCCTAGCAGGAATAAATTAAAGGAGATGTAGGACTCAAAAGCATGGAATCATGTTTGGGTATAAAATGTCCCCCAAAGTCTCATCTGTTAGGGGTGTAGTCCCTCTGCTGGCACTGTTTCGGGAGGCAATTGAACTTCAGGAGTGGGCTTCCTTGGAAGAGGTATGTCTGCAGGCAGGCTGTCAGGGCCGTTGTGTCCCTGGGACCGTCCCAGTCTCGTGGCCGCCGTGAGGTGAAAATGCTCAAGCTCCATCATGCACCTTTTGTCCCTGATGTGCTGTCCTTCCGTGCACCCAGTATCGACAGAACCAAGATGGCGGAAAGGAAACTGCTAGCCAAAATGAAGATTGGCTCCTTGGTTTGTGTCCGTACTTAGTTGCAGAGCTAATAAAAGTAGCGCAAGGAGAATCCGACACACGAGACAGGAGTAGAGAGAAACTCCAAGGTGATAGCTAAAGAAAGGTCTCAGGTAGCATCTTGGGGACGGACTTGCAGAAGAATTAACTTAAGCCGAAGGAAGAGAACCGAGGCTTCAGATGAACATGGCCATGCATGTGAAGCACACACAAATACGTCCAGGGTAATGTTTGCTTGTGCAGAACTTAAGGACGAACTCACAATGAGAGTACAGAAAAATAAGCAAACAAAAACTGTATTTAAAATGAACCAAAAAAGGGGAGTGGGGATAATGGTGTATTTTTTTTAATTCTTTTTCGAGACAGGGTTTCTCTGTAACTTTGGAGCCTGTCCTGGAACTCTCTCTGTAGACCAGGATAGTCTTGAATTCACAGAGATGTGCCTGTCTCTGCCTCCCAAGTGCTGGGATTAAAGGTGTGCGCTGCCACCACCAGGCACGATGGTGTATTTTTTAAGAGCTATCCTAGAATTCTGCATGACTTAGTTCTAAATAATACAGAGGCAATTAGTGTCAGACATAAAAACGCCATGACAGGAAGAAGCAAGATGGAAGTGAGAGAGGAATATAAAACAGCTTAGTCTTCCTCCTCCTTCATGGAAGGAAGTCAGGTAGTCTCCAAGGCTGAGAAAAGTCTAAATACATATGTTACTTAGCATAAGAAAACAGGGCCAGTGAGATGGCTTAGCAACAAACCTGGTCAAACAACCAGCCTGACCAAACCCCGGAGCCCACATAGTGAAAGGAGAGAGCTAATGCCCACAGGCTGTCCTATGACCTCTACATGTACACCTTGGCATGTAGGCGTGTGTAAATGTGGGTGTGCCCAGAAACATACTCACAAATAAATATGAAGAACGAATATAAATATTAAAAGAAATAAAGATAAAGATTAAAAATTATTGAACTAATGAAAGAGAGTAGAAAATACCTCAGGATGG